ACACAAAATAAAAGAAAAAAATATTTTTCCTTGTGATGAGAACTAAGGATTTTCCCTCTTAACAGCTTTTACATATAACATACAGCAGTGTTAATTATATTTATCATGTTGTACATCACATCCCTAGTACTTTATTTATCTTGTAACTGGAAGTTTGTACCTTTTGACCACCTTCCTCCAAATCCCTACCCCTACCCTCCACCATGTATCTTCCCAAGCTTAATCCTCACACCAAATACCATGCCGTGTCATCCAGAAGTTCATGGTTCATTTATAACTACCCCTTTATTATTTCCAGAATTGAAAATGCAACCTAATTGCTATGAAGTGGTTGATACATATTGAGGAGGGTAGAAAGTGTTCACCTATTCTGATGCCAAGTCTGTGATGACAACATGTAAACTTTTCCCACTGATGTTAATAAAGGGAGAAAACTCTAACCCATGGGATAAAGGTCTGTTTGGTTATGTGAAGTGCATTTTCACCACTCTGAAGAGTCCAGAAAACACCAGCATAGAGCATAGCACCTCAAACATAGTTGAAGGTCAATAAACATTGGTTGAATAAATGAATGAACTAATTAAGCCAGATAACCAATATAACCTTTTCACTTTTTTGACTGTTTTGGTCTAAACTAAGCATATGTAATCCTAAAATCTTAGACACCAAAATTTGTATAATGACAATATTTGTTTGGAATAGTAATTTCTTTTTTTGTTTGTAGGATGTGAAAGCAGGATGTCAGGTTTTAGAACAAAACTTGATAATGGAAAGATATAATTCTTCAGACATAGTATATAATATACTGGACAATCATATCTGGACTGTAAATTTTTGGTCTTGGTTAATGAACACACTTATTTTTTACTATTACAGGGTGGAAGGTGAAGGACAATATACTGATATCCACGGACTAGAATGGTGTGGTAACTTTCATTTCACAGCTGCTCCAGGCCTGAGGCTAAAGCTCCACATGTAGATATTCTGCATTGAAGTTTTAATGTGGTAATTGCAGCTTTTAGTTGTAAGGAAAACAACTAAATGTCATCTGCAGTAACTTCATACACTACCTATATATTGTAATTGTGCCAATAAAACCATCACTCATTTATGCTTTTTTGAACTTTCTTTTGATCATCTTATAATTAGTTTAAAATAAATTATGTAGGGACTGCCCTGGCGGTCCAGTGGTTAAGACTCCGTGCTTCCACTGCAGGGGGCACAGGTTCAATACCTGGTCCGGGAACTAAGATCCTGCATGCCACACAGTGTGGCCAAAAAAGGGGGGGAAAAAAAAAGAAAGAAAAGAAATTAATGTGATTCAATAGAGAGTTTGCTCATTTTAAGAAAAACTATGCAGATCTTGACAAAGTCAATTTCCAATCCTGTGCCTGAGTTTTGTCATCTTTAAAAAGTGTATCTGGGCTTCCCTAGTGGTGCAGTGGTTAAGAATCCACCTGCCAACGCAAGGAACAAGGGTTTGAGCCCTGGTCTGGGAAAATCCCACATGCCGCGGAGCAGCTAAGCTCGTGCACCCCAACTACTGAGCCTGTGCTCTAGAGCCCGTGAGCCACAACTACTGAAGCCCGCGCGCCTAGAGCCCGTGCTCCGCAGCAAGAGAAGCCACTGCGATGAGAAGCCCGTGCACCGCAACGAAGAGTAACCCCCGCTCCCTCAACTAGAGAAAGCCCACGCGCAGCAATGAAGACCCAACGCAGCCAAAAATAAAATAAATGTATATATATATATATATATATAAAGTAGAGCTTCCCTGGTGGCGCAGTGGTTGAGAGTCCAACTGCCGATGCAGGGGACACGGGTTCGTGCCCCGGTCCAGGAAGATCCCACATGCCGTGGAGCGGCTAGGCCCGTGAACCACGGCCGCTGAGCCTGCTCATCTGGAGCCTGTGCTCCACAATGGGAGAGGCCACAACAGTGAGAGGCCTGCGTACCGAAAAAAAAAAAAAAAAAAAAAGTATATCTGTGTGTTAAAGGAAACTATCAAGAAAATGAAAGAACAATCCACAGAATAGGAGAAAACATTTGCAAATCATATCTGGTAAAGGTTTAGTTTTCAGTATACAGAACTCATATATAAATATATATAAATAAAAAGACAACCTAGTTTAAATATGGACAAAGGATTTGCATAGACATTTCTTCAGAGAAGATATACAAATGTCTGATAAGCAAACGAAAGATGTTCAACATTATTACTCTTTAGGGAAATGCAAATTAAACCCACAATAAGATACCACTTCCCAGGACTTCCCTGGTGGCGTAGTGGTTAAGACTCCGTGCTCCAAATGCAGGGGGCTTGGGTTCGATCCCTGGTCAGAGAACTAGATCCCATGTGCATGCTGCAACTAAGAGTTCACATGGCACAACAAAGGAGCCTGCCTACCACAACTAAGGAGCCCATGTGCCACAACTAAGGAGCCTGCCTGCCACAACTAAGACCTGGCACAACCAAATAAATAAATATTAAAAAAAAATACCACTTCCCAATCTCTAGGATGGCTATATTTAAAAAGACATAATAACAGAGATTGGCAAGGATGTGGAGAAATTGGAAACCCCAAATATTTCTGGTGGGAATGAAAAATGGTGCAGCCGCTGAGGAAAACAGTTTCTCAAAAAGTTGACATAGGACTTCCCTGGTGGCGCAGTGGTTAAGAATCCGCCTGCCAATGCAGCGGACACAGGTTCAAGCCCTGGTCCGGGAAGATCCCACATGCCGCGGAGCAACAAAGCCCGGGCACCACAACTACTGAGCCTGCGCTCTAGAGCCCGTGAGCCACAACTACTGAAGCCTGCGTGCCACAACTACTGAAGCCTGCGTGCCGAGAGCCCATGCTCTGCAACAAGAGAAGCCACCACGATGTGAAGCCCACACGCTGCAACGAAGAGTAGCCCCCGCTCACCGCAACCAGAGAAAGCCCGTGTGCAGCAACAAAGACCCAACGCAGCAATAATAAAATATAAAATGAATAAATAAATCTTTAAAGAAAAAAAAATTGACATATAATTACCATATGTCCCAGCAATTCCTAAGTATGCACCCAAGAAAATTGACTTGTATACAAATGTTTAGAACAGCACTATTCATACCAGCCCAATACTGAAAACCCAGATGTCCATCGACTGATGAATGGATAAATAAAATGTGATATATCTGTACAATGGAATGTTATTCAGCCATAAAAAGGAATGAAGTATTGACACATGCTCTAACATAAATCAACCTTGAAAACATTGTACTAAGTGAAAGGAGCCAGTCACAAAAGGCTACATATTATACGGCCTTTTATGTGAAATGTCCAGAACAGGCAAATCCATAGAGGCAGGAAGTAGATTAGTGGTTGCCAGGGAGGAGGAGTTCAGAGGCATGGGGCTTCTCTTTGGGGTGATGCAAACGTTCTAGAATTAGTGGTTGCACAACTTGTGAACATGAAAAACCACTGCACTGTTCATATTAAAAGGGCAAATTTTATGTATGTTATGTGTAGGGGAGCAAAATTTGCCACCCCAAAATGTGTCTCTCTGGCATGAGGATTAATTTAGGGAGATTATTTTTAAGAAACAGAAGACTCCTGAAGTCTTTCTTTTTACCTCTGCCCTGAGCTGCCTAAAGAGTTTTGATAAAGGACCTCTTCCCAGAATAGAGGTATCTGCAAACAATTTAGGCTAGGTGTGGCCGGGGAAGCTGAGCAGGGCCTAGAGATCAGAGTCCACTCTGTAGCATTGCCTCTGCAGGGCCCAACAAACAGTTGATTACCAAGAGTTTGCATTTGCGTTTCCATCTCCACTTGAACTACCCTCCTTTGAAGTCCCAAACCACTACCCTCAACATCCTCTTTTGTCTTTAGCTGATACGGTTTTTAAGAGAGGGCTTTGGCCATTTTAGTGAGCTGTTCAGTTTTCCTGATTCCCTCCCACATTATTAAACTTTTGTTTGACTTTCTCCTGTTAATCTGTCTCATGTCAAATTCATTGTAATTCTTAGACCAGCCAGAAGAATCTAGAAGGGTAGAGGAAAATTTCTCTCTGACATAGGTGAGTTATACCTCAATTTTTAAAAAGTAGATCAGTGTGTGCTCATATATTCTATGCCTAAAAAGCTTCTTTACCTTTTAGATAACATAATTTTGAAATTACCAAAGCAGTACATGACAGCTACATATTAAAATTACAATAAAGACCCTAGTGTTTTTACTGAAACTATTTCTCCAAAACTGACCCCCCACAAGATGGTGCATGTAATAGATAACTTCCATATTATGTAATATTTCTTCCCTCAAAATCTTGTGAAAATTTGTATTTCTCAATATATCATTGCTAAATCCTTTTTTATTTTTTGTTGTACTACTATAAATTTGGGTTGAGATGTCTTTTAAAATGTTGAAATTAAAATGGTATTTTTTATAGCTTCTCATGATAATAACTTTGTATTTAATTTCAAAAGATCCTATTTATAAGTGTTCAAAGATACATTTTAACAATTAGACATTTTGGATATGTTGCTTAGCATTAACTGGTATGGCTTTAGAATTAAATACTTTTATTGTACTGGAATTTATAAGGAGATAAATACTGGGCAAGTTAAGGTAAGGTGAGAGGATGTTTTCAGAGACCAGGACATATAATGCAAATTCAAAACTTCTGGAAAATATAGAAATATCTGCTTTACTGAAAACTAAATTTTCCCCAATATTTTTCTTCAAATTATTTAAGGTAGCAAGATATATACTTTGCTTTTAAACTATTTAACTTTTATTGATATATAAGTAACTTTTCAATGCTCAAGTCTCCAGTTTTCTAAGATACTAAAGTCATTCCTCTTAAACAGTTTTCTTTCTTTTACTCCTTGAAACTAAATGCAGTTCAGTTATTTGATTAGTTGATGCTAGAATTTGACCTGGAGCTTATATAATTAGAAGAGACACTAGTTTTCCTCATTTAAAAGCCTAGTTAGCATATGACAGTCTCGTTTCCGGGGAAGTCAAACCTCTACTGCTTCTTTTTATAACATTTAAGTTAATTCAGAATCCAGATAAGCCTTGATCTGAGGACGATATAACCACAGCAAGCAACATGGGGTAAGTATGTGCTCTTATGTACTTTGAGAGGCATTGAGAGGGCAAATATTTTCATAAGAGAAGAAATCCCATAAATCCTTACTAACTTAGATTCAAAATATGCTAACTTTTATTTAAGGAAGTCATTTAAAGAAATTACTTTTTATTCAAAGTTAAAACAATTTGTAAAATATTCATTCATTTTCTTGCTTAATTTTTGTATGATGTCATAATCTGTCTTTAAATGTTGTTAACTAATGAAACATTTAGACTGAAGAGTTTTGCCTATTTACATATTTAGTTGAATCTGAATTAAAATTTGAGAGTAATCTTAAAGAAAGGATGACTGAATGCTTGTTTTACATGGCAGATAAACCCAATATGTGTATGCCTCTTCGGGATTAAGAATAAAGAATGGAAAAGATTAGGAATGGAGGGAGGTTAATTTATGACTTTTGTAACACAGAAAAGGAATAGAGGATTCTATCAGAGTTTACTCCTCTATGTACAGAAAACTATGTGCTAATTAGTTACATAGGAACATTAGTGAGAAATCTAAGTCCTTTGCAGGGGTTTTGGGAGCATGATGAGAAGAATTAGGTTTCACTTGAAAGCTTTCTATTCTTAAGTGAGAATAGGAATCCACTATAATTAGTATTTTATATGCTGAAACAATAGTATTCTGAAAAATATAGAAATTTGCCTTTGTATAACCCTTTTGTCCTTTTTATAGCTCCTTTTAATATAAAATTATATTTGTTGCAAATGGTATAGCCATTTAACTAAAGGCACTTCTGAAGGATTTAGCATAAACAATCAGAAGTTCATACTAAAGAAATAACTTTTTTGACACACGTTTCTTCTAGTTTCCATGAATTTAATTAATATCTATGTTTTTGCTAATATCATGGGCTCTGAAATACAATCTAAACCAGCTTGAAACCTCAGAGGCTTTTGAAAGGAAGATGATCATACTGTTGTTAATTTTTAATATAAATATAAAGGTTAATAGATAAGTGCCTTGTACAAATTTCACATACATTTGATTGATTTGATTGGCGACAGAGTTGATGAGACTCCTGGATTCTCTTTATTCCCCTCTTTCCTCTCTTTCTCTCTCTCCCTCTTCCTCCCTCTGCTTTTCTTTAATGACTGGAGCTCACCTTTTTGAGGGTCAAGGGTCACTCTAAGAATTTTTAGAAACCAGCCCACCCTCTCTGCAAAAAAATGTAAAATCACACCAAATTTTGCATATCATTTCAGGAGATTTACAGATGGCCTGACTGTGGACCCCAGGTTAAGGAATTTGATTTTGAATTTTAGGACTGGAGTATAAGTTGCTCAATATTTTTCTTAGCTTTTGAGTTTTTATTAAATGTAAAACTCTTTTAAATTAATAAGTCCTGCTAATCTTCTCTCAGAGACAATGTCGAAGATGCTGATTCTCCCACTGACCAGCTCCCAACACACACACACACACACACACACACACACACACACACGCAACTTACATGAGTGAAACACAGTTTAACCGATATCCATAGTTTTGACAATCACATTTCTGCTGTTTGTCTCCAGTGACTTGATTAATCACTTCTGCTTTCAAGAGTGCCAGGAATCACCTTGGGAATCACGGAAGAAAAAAATCCTCATTATTTTATTTCATGTATTGCTCTCAGCGCCCCACATAACATGAACTAAACCATAACTTGCAAAATATTACACAGGACACTATTCTGATTCGTAGGTTCATGATTATTTTGTTGTCAGCTCCTGCCCTTACTGAGAAAAGAGAGATTATTAGGTATTAACACCTACTGAAATCTTCCTCAGTGATGATCAGAAAAATGAAAAGACACAGTGGCAGCTGATTAGATGCTCAAATTTGTCCATTGGGGGAAATCTCTAGAATGTATCCCCTGAGAATGAGGAAGTAGCTGTTTGGGATTTGGGGGAGGGGGTGTTATTTATCTGAAAGCTATTTGAGAACACAATGCCCTTACATGAGTCTGTGCCAGCCCTTTCCATTTTGCAGGGGGCTATGCTGGCGTGGTTTTAGTGAGCGATGAAGAGGCAAACATTAGAAACTTCTTATGCTCTTTAGAAAGCCACCTCCTTCTCTTAAATTTTCACTGGATTCCTTATGGAGTGTGTGTGAGGGGGAAGGGTGAGTAGAGATGGTGCATAAGGGTGGGTAAAGGGATAACTAAGGAGAAGAGAAAGAACGTTACCTTGTGAAATACCCTGCCACCTGCTATTTACCATAACACCTGAGCAAAGGATGAACAATGGGATAGAAGTGATGGTTGCCTTTCTTTCCTGAGATGCTTTTCAATATTCTTTCCCCATCTCCTAGCAGTCAGTCAGTGTACCCCCAATTGATGTCTCGGGAAAATAAATGTTAAGGCTCTGCTAAAATTGTAGAACAAATAAATCCATTATTACAGCATATTCAGCCTCCTTTTAGTTTTCCAGTTTATGTAACCGTAGAGTAATTTTAAAAATTCTTTTATGGATAGATTTTCTACTTCCGGATCAGGGAATTACAGTCTGACTCTTTTTCCTGGGCAAAGCATACATTTAGCTCATGTAGTAACCTTTGAAATATTGCTTCTATCTGTGCCCTCCTTTCCTTTCTAACGGTCGCTTCCCTAATTCAGGCCATCATTACATTTTACATGGATTATTAAAGGTGCCCACTCCCAGCCTCTCTGCAGCTGGTCTTTCCTCTACAGTCACAAGAGTCATCTTCTGACTGAAGACATGTGGTCTGGTTATTCCCTTGCTTAAAATCTTTCAGTGACTCCTTATTCTCTCCACTTCAGAGCAGGCTCCCAAGAAGATATTCACCACCCTTTATCTGTCTCTAATCCACCTGTCTAGCTTTACCTTCTACTCTATCCTTGATGCTGCCTGGGATCCCTAAATCCACTGATGCATTGTAACTGTCTACCTCTGATCCTTTGCTGAGCTTCCCACCCCACCTTTGTTTTTTGGTTTTGTGTTTATTTTTTTTTTTTTACCATTTCTACATACTGTTCAAAGCCCAGCTCAAATCCTATCTTCTTCATGACATTTTCTCTAATCCCCACAAGTGGAACTCATCTTTTCTCCTCTGAAAGTTTTAGGCACTTTATACTTTTCTTATTGCATTTTTTCTCAATCCATCATATGCTGTAGTTATTTGTGTGTCTCATCTTTCCTACTCTAGACTGTAAGCTCCTGGAAGCCAGAACAACGTCATCTTTATATTTCCTCCCAGGACCCGGCACAATGCCTTTTACATAGTATGTGCTTAATAAATGTCTGCTGAGTTCAAATGAACTCTGCTTTTCCTATAATCCACAAAAAAACTAAAAACTTAATTTTAGCCAAAATTCCCTCTTTCTTCCCCAATAGAGTGGCCCCATTTTCCAAGTTCCTATCTGAGGAGCTCAAATGAGTGTATAATATCTAAAATATGGGTGATGCAAGAGAGAAAAGGTAAAAACAAAGACTGGAGGGCTACACTAGAGGCTTTTGAAGAGTAGAAAATCTACTGTTGATATGTAGAAAGCACACATAGGATCAAAGGAAGTGTAAGAACACTTCTAAGAATTAAAAATGGTTCTTGGTTCGAGACAACTTCCTAGAGGACCAGCATATCATTAAGGTTGGGCTCATTTGTATATGTTGGAAAAACCAAAATAATAGTGGCTTACATAAGCTAGAAGGTTATTTCTCTCTTACATTAAAAAAAAAAAAAAGTCCGTAGGCAATCTAGAGTTATTCAAGCAGTTCCTTGGTGTGAGAGACCAAGGTTCCTTCTACCTTGCTCTTCTGCCATCCTTGGTGTCTCACCTCTTGGTCTAAGAAGGTTGCTAGGACTCCACCTATCTCACTGGTGTTCAGCCAGCAGGAAGGAGGAAAGGGAAGAAAAAGATGTGTTTCCTCTTTTAAGGCAACTTCCCAAAAGTCACTCACACTATTTCTACTTGTAACTCGTGGGTAGAATCTATCTCCATGGTTACACCTACCTGTGAAGGAGAAGGGGGAATATAGTTTTTTAACTGGGTTACTATAAGGAACAGGGAAAATGGATATTGGGTGGTAACTGGCAGTGACTGACAGAGCCAGTAAGGCCATCCATTGATTCTCATATTCCTTTAGGACAAAGAACAGCATTTGCACAAAAAAGAATGTTTTAAGACACATTTTCTGTAAAGTTAAGGGGAAAAAAAGAGCAAGCCAAGCTGGGAATAAACACAGATTCACTTAGGATAAAGGACAGGGACGTGACAAAATGACAAAGGTGACTGAGTAAGCCGTTGGTCCCCCCACTGTCCACTTCTGCATCCTGGCCCCTGACCCTCAGCTTGCATCTCCCTTAATCCTCACTTCTGCACTGTGAGGTGCCTATTATTACTACTGTGCCTATTATACAGATCAAGAAACTGAAAGCCCAGAGATTCAGAGACTTGGCCAAACTGCCCAAGAGGCTTCAGATAATGAAAAAATAAATAAAACACACAGCTGGCTTGGAAACCGCTGTACTGCTCACAAAACCATATAATTCATAGAGTGTTCTCCAAAAGGATTTGCACTTACTTTTGATTGTGAATCATCTCAATTAGCCCCTACAGAAAAACCTCTTATAAACCTACTTCACTTGTCACTTGATGTAGGTGATTTCATTTAATGTGGGATACTTAGGAAAACCTCTAGATTTTTGGCTTTCATTATTTTTAGGTCAGATGAACTGCTTTGAATTCTTCTGATTCAGCAAAGCCCCCTAAGCCATGTTAGAGTATTCCAGCTATGCTTCTAAATACATAAGAATTTATTTTTATTAGTCACCCCAAAGGTACAAATCATTGTGCCTACTCAGCACCAAGTGACTTAAAAACTAAAAGACTAAGAGAAACAAGAACTTTTACATTTTACATTATGTATTTTAACTATTAGAAATTTTAAACAATCAATTGCATATATAATAAAAACTTTTAGTTATGAAATTATAGGAAAAAAAGGATGGTATACATTACAAAATACCTGTCATTATCAATGGCATTTTATTTTTTTATAGAACCTCTAAAGAAATCAGGAAAGCTTCACAAAACATGGTGTGATGTCTACAGGTGGAAACAGGCCATGAGGTGAGTGAAAATTGCAAAGAGCTTATTACTAGTAAGAATACATAAACTGAGAGCCTACTTTAAAACAATGTACTTGTACTTTACTTAGTTTAAACCAGTACTTGTACTTGATTCTTTTTTTTTTTAACATCTTTATTGGAGTATAATTGCTTTACAATGGTGTGTTAGTTTCTGCTTTATAACCGTACTTCATTCTTGAAGTACAAATATTACAAATTGTTTTGAAGAATTTTGTAACCCTTCTTTGTTTAAAAACAAAAGCAAATGGACATACTGTGGGATTCCTTTATTAGTTAGTAGTCAGAGCTAATAGCCACCTAATAAACCAGCCATGTTACATCAAACTTTTACTGCATTTATGTTTACTCACAGTATTGAGACAATAATGACCATGTTTTGAGTTCTATTTTAGATGTCTTTGGGGATTGCAAAAAAACCTTAAGAATGAAAACATTTACTTTACATTCAACTAATATTTACTGAGTTCCTACTTATACTAGGCTTTGCGACATAATAACTATGTGCGATTGGTAAGTCTTAACCTCGTTTTACAGTTGAAGTAGGTTTATGAAGATTAAGTAAGGTTCCAGGCTCACAAAACTAAATAAGTCACAGAGCTGGAATTTGAAGCTAGATGTTTAATGCACTTAAGAGAAAAGTCCCATAGTTCAAAGCAATATTTTTAAATTTCAAATCTAAAAAGTGCACATTATAAAACAAACACTTGTTCAAGACAGAAGAGTGTAAGTAAAATGTTTAAGCCCATCCCTCCCCTACCCCATCCCTCTTTTCAAGCATAACCACTGTTAGTAGTTTGGTATAAACCCTTCCATATCTTTCCTTTTGTCCAATATGCTTTTCATTACATCACACTTCCTGCCTACTTAAAAACATCAATGAATAGAGGAGGTTGAATTTACCATATATCTGTACTAGTATAAATATCTATCTTTAAATAATAACTGAAAAGCTCATTCAGCTAACATTAGGCATCTAACTATCGAGACTCAAAGAACAGAATTCACTCTTTCTTTCCTAGGGACTCATAATCTAGTGCAGTGGTTCTTAATTTGGTTTTGAGAGAGTAAATATGGACTCTTTTGAGACTCTGATGTGAGCTCTGAACCTTCTCCCCAGAAGAAAATAAATCTGTATAAAATTCTGGCTATAATTCAGGGGATTCATGGATACTCTGAGAGTATACGGACCCCTGATCTTGTAGAAGTAAGATTTTTAAATTAGTAATTTAACATAAATACTATAATAGAAGTGTGGACAAGATGCTATGGCAGCACAGAAAAGCAAGGACTTTACTGACACATGTCAAGAAAGGGAAGAGTGATACTTGCACAGAAATCTTGAAAAACACAAGGAGTTTGACAGCTAGCCCAGGGTAGGGGAAGGATGTCCACTGAGGAAACAACATTTATAAATCCTAGAGGCTAGAAAGGACAGGGACCCACAAGACTGTCTTTGTGTTAGGAGCCCAGTATGTATATGAAAGTGACTAAAGAGTTTGCAGAGCTAGGTAGAGGCCAGATCATGAAGGGTTTTGTCCATTGTGTTAGGATGTTTGAACTTTAGGAGTCACTGAAGGATTTTGATCAAGATTTTCATTGGTAGGTAAGAAGTCTACAATTAATGCATGACTAAATAAATGATCATGGGAATACTAATGTGGATGATAGAATAAGATATAAAAAGGAGATAAGACCATTTGATTCAGATTTGTTGGGGGATCACTGATGAAATAATATGCTATTAAAAAGATACGTTGCTAAAATCAAATGGAATTGAGTGGAAGGTCACTGCTTTCACAAAGGAGATTGGGAGACTGAAGCTCTGAGACTGTATTTGTAAGATAAAACTCAAAATTTGGGCAGTACATCTGCCCCCTCACTGCAGTGAGTCCCAGGCACAGTCATGCTAGTGTCAGTCCCTCGGGGTGTCTGTATCACTCCTGGTCTGCCACACCATCTTGCCTTCCACTGTCCTACAGTAACTCCTGATGGACCATTTGGTTTCCTATTGACTTTGCAAAGAGTAGGAAAAGAGAAAGGGTAAAACGGGTAAGGTTATCAAGTTGTTTACACTGAGCCTGTATTGCTTTTATAGTTATTTTTCTAATTTTGTTTTAAAGTAATGTGGTATAAAGCCAGGCTTACAAATAATGTCATAGCTAGTTCATTGCTATTTGTCTGTACTTCACCTGATATACCTACCTAAAAATGCAATATTAGTCTCACCTCCTACTTCTTGGCAGTGACTTCATAAATGAGGTAAGACTATAAAGTCTCAAAGATATTTCCCTTGATAAATATTTATTGTTCAATAAAAATTTTACTTATCAGATGCTACAAAGGCTGTGAAGACTAAACTTGTACATATATTATATATGCTATTTTGTGTGTATGATGTATCATAAGAACTTTTTAAAATACAAGAAGCATTTGGTCTTTGCCGAAGGGTAGTGCTCTGAAAGATTTCTCAGTCTACATGTATAGATAGTGAACTTTTGTTAACAAAAAATTTACAGTTTAGGTGATACAGCATTGATTTCTCCAGCTTGCCTTTCTAGCTCATTATTTTTTAAAAAATGCATTTCCTTGCTATTAATAAAAATAAATAAGATTCCATGTTGTTTTCTTTTTTCCCCAGATTTATTGAGGTATAATTGACAAATAAAGTTATAAGATATTTAAAGTGTGCAATGTGATGATTTGATATATGTATTCATTGTGAAAGGATTCACCCCCCCCTTTTTTGGTGGGGACATTTAAGTTCTACTCTTTTAGCAAATGTCAATTATATTTACAATTCAATCTTAACAACTATAGTCACCATGTTATACATTAGATCCTCAGACTTTATTCTTCTTATAACTGAGAGTTTGTACCCTTTTACCAGCCTCTCCGTATTGTTTTCTTTAGGGAAAGAAATCATTAACTATAAACATCCTCTGGAATTTAAATAAATTCAACTCAAATTTGTGTTGAGTGCCCACCACAAAAAGTTCTCAAACTTTTCATATCAGAGGAATGTGAACAAATGATATAAATGTATTTACCTTTAAAACTCAAGCTAATTTTGCATGCCTCTCTATGAACTATCTGAACATTTAAAATATATAATACTGGGCTTCCCTGGTGGCACACTGGTTAGGAATCCACCTGCCAATGCAGGGGACACGGGTTCGAGCCCTAGTCCGGGAAGATCCCACATGCCGCGGAGCAACTAAGCCCATGCGCCACAACTACTGAGCCTGCGCTCTAGAGCCTGCGAGCCACAACTACTGAAGCCCGCGTGCCTAGAGCCCGTGCTCCGCAACAAGAGAAGCCACCGCGATGAGAAGCCTGTGGACCGCAACAAAGAGTAGCCCCCACTTGCCGTAACTAGAGAAAGCCCGTGTGCAGCAACGAAGACCCAACACAGCCAAAAATAAATAAAATAAATTAATTTAAAAAATAAAATAAGATAAAATATATAATACTTTTTAAAATTGCTTACCATTGAGTAAAATTGCTATTATAAAGAGATAATCTATGTTTATCCTGAGGCTTAAAGTCTAGCAGTCTAGTTTGATAAGAACCAGATGCTCACCAGGTGCAATGGATATGAATATGAATAGTCCCTGTCCTGGTGCAGCTTACAGTGTCGTGCGGGACACAGACAGGGCCTGTTGCCTATAAATCCCAACAGAGAGAGACACTAATAATATGGTATGAGAATGTAGTAGAAGAGGGGTCAACTAATGATGACTTGGAGGACCAGGGCAGGCTTCATAGAGAAGGAGGGGCTTAAATTGAGCCTTGACGGATAAGAAATAGTCATTAGGTAGGGAAAGATATTTGAGGCATAGAGGATGGAAGGAACAAAGGTACACAGGCAAGGATTTGATGAAATGCATGAACTGTGATTATCTATCTACACATCTGTATCATATATACTAACTGCTATGAAGTTTTATTTGAAATACTATGAAACAGAGAAACAAATCAAGTAAGTTCAGCCAGTCCAGTCATTAGCTGTTACAAGTAGCAAAATCATATCAACTAATGTCTAAGTGGCTACAGGGATATATCGGGAGCCACACTCAGGCATAAAATTAAGGTCCCATAGTCAGAGCTTGATCAAGAGACACGAGGCAGGCTTAAAATCTGACACTCATTCAAACAGATTTTCTTTCATTATTCAACATTTGAATAGAAAAGAGGCTGATTCCTCCACGGAGGTAGAGCAGGAAAGGAGGACTCCCAAGGGCAGTACTCAGTCTCCTGTGCAGGATCAAGAGCGGCTCAACTCTGGCCTCACACTGGCTGCACCACTCGTCAAAAGAAAAATCCTACAAGGAAACCAGACTCACGCTTCTAAGAGGGCTTTCTGGCAACCATTTGTTGCTATTCAAGCCTGCATCTAGGATGTCCCATCACCCACCCCAAACACACACACATACATACACACCCTCAAGATTCCACACCTCGGGGAATGCAGAGTGAATAAAACATCCAAGCCCTCATGAAGTGGAGATGATGGGCCAAGATGATCAATAAACAGATAAACAGACCATTGTCATTTGGTAGAAAATGCTGTAGGGAAAACTGAAGCAATGGAAAGGAGACAGGCAGTGAAAGCTGAGTCCTGCTCTTACGTGCGTGGTCAGGGAAGGCCCTTTTAATGAGGTGACATTTAAAGAGACCAGGAGCCTTAGAACTTTTTTTGTCCTTAATGTATGATTGTGGGATATTGTAAATTTGACAAAACTTTGAAGTTGTCAAGAGATAGGAGCAAAATGGGCCCTGGTGAAGGTGCGTAAGAGTTTGAGTTTCAACCTCGCTTTTTCCCCTCACATCCTGTGGGTCCCAGGATTTTCACAAATGAGCTTTTCTTGCTTCTGTGATTCTAAATATTCTGTATTAACATTTTAATGACTTTTCAAATGTACAGAATCTACTTATTTATATAATTTTTGCCAATGGGGATTATGGCTATTAAAAGTAAAT